ACACCGTTCACCAGTATATCCATCATTGCAGGTACACGCTCCTGTCATGTGGTTACATTCAAGAGTATTTGTTGATCTACAGCTACACTTGGATGTACAGTTATTGCCGTATGTACCCTGTGGACAAACTGATACCAAATGCACAAGTAAGTAATGTACTAATACACATATACTAGATTGTAACGACGTTCTCTTGGGAATATATAAGATTCTTTACTTGTATGGGTGTTACTCATAATAATTTTATATCTTTATTTCATTATTATTATTATTATTATTATTATTATTATTATTATTATTATTATCATATTAAAGAAAAAAGAGTCCTTACACAAGGTGCACTCGCGTCCAGTCCATCCCGGTTTACAGTAGCATGTGCCGTTCACGTGATCACAAGACACTGTGTTTTCTCTATAACACTGACAGGCTGATACGCAGTCTTCGCCATAAAAACCTTGCTTACATGCTAAAAAAATAGAAAAAGAAATGGATATTGGTCAAAACGTTCAAAAGGTTTTTTATGTTTGCCTTTAAATAATCATGTGTGTAATACCTTTTTCACATTGGTTCCCCGTCCATCCTGGTGAACACAGGCAAGCACCGGTCACGTGATCACACGACGACTGATGCTGACAAGTACACATACTGTTGCAGTTTAAGCCAAACGTTCCCTTTGGGCACCCTGTGGCAGGTAAATCAGGACTGGTTACAGAATATCCAAGTAAATCGAAACAAATATCATATGATAATGATATACTAACCTTGTTTACAAAGAGCACCATACCAACCAGCTGTACACGAGCAGACTCCAGTCACGCGGTCACACGTAGCACCATTCGCACATTGACAAGTAGATTGACATTCATAGCCGTATGTACCTTGTGGACAAGCTGGGGGAAAATGTAGACAAATTGTGAGACTCCCAATTGTTTAAGAGTGAGAGACAAAAAAGTTGTCAGTTGCAGAATCAGCAAGTTTCATACCTAGGCATTTCGGTCTTGAATACCCAATTGGGCAGATACATACGCCTGTTATTACATCACAGAGATTATTATTGCAGCTACATTTTTTTTGACAGAGGTTACCATAGCGACCAATTGCACAAACTGTCAAAAAGAAAATAAGTACAAAATGAGTAAATGACGAAATGAGATAAGGGGTTCCTCTATGAAATGCATTACCAATTCTTGTAAAGCATATGTCACCGGCAAAGCCTTCCTTACACAAACAGAGCCCTGATAAAGCATGGCATCTAAAATGAAAGCGTCAAATAAATGAAATGACAAAATGAATATGGGTAGCATGGGTGGGTAGCGCTGAGAGCGCTCGCTTCTCATAATTGCGACCCTTGTTGAAGTGTCCGCCGGTCTCGGCGTCGTATGTAAGTAGAGTTGTTTGTTGGTTCTCCCTTGTGCTTCAAGGGTCTTTTCTCCGGGTTCTCTGGTTTTCCTGCCTCAATTACTTAACTCCAATTCGATCATGAAACAAGAGGCACAGGTTTCTTAGCCACTGGCTATATAGTGCTACCCTCGTTAAAACAAGAACGGTTGAAATGGTAAAATTAAATATTGTTTTTCTCAATTATTAACGCCATTTACCTGTCAGTTAGCGTCCTGTTACAATTACATTGATTTTTGCATCCCACACCAAAAGTCCAGCGACCGCATTCTGTTAAAGAAACAGGAAATTTTCGACAATTCAAACCTAAAGATTGTAAATATAGACACCTTTTTCATACTTACTGATGTCACACAGTTCCCCCTGCCACTCCCCCACGCATATACAACGTCCTGTCACGGAGTCACACGATGCACCATTCTGACATAAGCACTTTGATTGACAGTTTTTCCCAAAGTAACCAGCCGGACATGGATTGTTACACTCAACACCAGTCCACCCCGGTAGACAGTCACATGATCCATCCATCTTGCTACATGTTGCATTGTTCTGACATTTGCAGGACGCGTTGCATCCTGGTCCATATTTTCCATCTGGGCATTGTTTACCACAATTTTCACCAATATATCCAGGCTGGCAGCTGAAAAACATCATAAAAATGACAAAATCTTAGAGACATTTATTATTACTGCAGTCATAATGTGTCTAGAGGATTTCCGACTCAGTGAAAAATGGTAGGGCCCACGTCTTGGTAATGAAATAAAGGACACTTTCCAAGGTAATTACAGCAAACTCGAGCTTACTGCTAATTCAGTCAAACCGCTAGCACACGGCCATCCCCCGTATCGAGTTTTTCATAGTTCTAACAAATATATTATTTTAGCACTTACGCGCACTCCCCTGTGAATGGATTACAGGTTCCCCATTTTGTGCAATTGCAATGTACTTTACATCCAAGACCTCCGGCCCCGCCAGCACACTGTTTTTCACAAAACTTGCCCTTATATCCAGAGGTGCAGTTACAGAAACCATCTATCGGTGAACACGTGGCATTGTTCTGACATGCGCATTTGTCATGGCAGTTGTGACCATATGTTCCTTCTTCACAAAGATCTTCACATCTGGTAAAGAAGCGTTTCTCAAAATTAAACAAATGATATGTAGCAGAGGGTGCCTTACGTAGAAAGTGGGTTTGCTCTCCAGTAAATTTCACCCATGGGAATCAAAATGATCACTCATTTGCTCTCAATGAATTAATCAGCACTTGATTACTGAGCTGCAAAGGACCTATTGGCGATGCTGCATCACCTGTGCCGTATAGGTATATATACATGTTACAAACCTCTTTCCTCTGTAACCAAGTCTGCAGTCACATACTCCAGTCACGTGATCGCACATTGCACCATGCATACAGTTTAGGCATGTTTGTGCACAACGGTATCCATATGTACCTTCGGGACACTTTTGGTTACATATGTCTCCCTAAATATGCAACGAAGAAAGAAAAGTGCTTAAGACACCTAACACAATCTTTTTAGTATCGATTCTACATAAAGTCAATAGCTGAATGGTAAAATATTTGTATATGATTCGAGTAATGCATCTTGAAGATGTAAAAAAATAAAAAAATAACTTTTTTATATCACGTGATGCCTCTATTGACTTTAACCAAGATAATTTCAAAATAAAAAAAATTCGTCATTTGTTTTCACTTTAATGCAACTAGATTCATTGTAACTTAAGATAAATGGAAGTTGTACAAAACTGGTTCACTTAACACCTTATACGTAATTACCGTCCATCCAGCTGTACAATTACACGTGCCGTTCACGTGATCACATGAAGCTCCGTTCAGACATGCGCACTTCACTGCACAATCCTGTCCATACCAACCACGAGAACATCCTGATTCACAGCTGAAAGAACAGGAAATGAAATAGTTACAGTTTGGTATCCCTGTGGTTTGATAGTCACGCCATTAATAGTCATGAAATAAACTTACTGCTGTCCTTGATATCCAGCTGCGCATGTGCAGTTACCATTAACAGGGTCACATGTCGCTCCATTAAGACACATGCATTCGTGTTGACATTTGTCACCATAGTAACCATGTCCACATGTCTTGTTGCAGTACTGTCCCTCCCACCCTGGGGTACACGTACACATACCAGTGTGGGGAGAGCATTTAGCGTTATTTTGACAGAGACAGTAATGTCTGCAGTGTGGTCCCCATTTATGTGAAGGACAGTCTGATGAAGTAAGAAAAGAAAATTAACACGGACCATATTGAGAAAGATAACAAAGATGTTAGTAGTACAGTGCTGGCACATACCTCTTTCGCACAGTTTTCCATAGTAACCTGAGTTACAAGAGCAGTAGTCTGGTTTGGAACACCTGCCATTCACACAAGGCTGAGTACAAATAGCTGAAAACAGAAACGAACCTATAAGGATTTTCTTTTCGTTGAATGAACAAGCATACTCTCTCCCTTCGTTCCATCCCTTACAGCATTTGTATTGTTTTCTGTAGGATATTCTAGTGACTACCCTAACATTAGGTTATTTACCTTTGGTACACTGATCTCTCACTTGACTCCATCCCTTACAGCATTGGTATTGTTTTCTGTAGGATATTCTAGTGACTACCCTAGCATTAGGATATTTACCTTTGGTACACTGATCTCTCTCTTGACTCCATCCCTTACAGCACTGGTATTGTTTTNTTGACTCCATCCCTTACAGCACTGGTATTGTTTTGTGTAGGATATTCTAGTGACTACCCTAGCATTAGGTTATTTACCTTTGGTACACTGATCTCTCACTTGACTCCATCCCTTACAGCATTGGTATTGTTTTCTGTAGGATGTTCTCGTAGCTGTTCGATAGGCAGCCCTGTAAGCAGTCCTATGTACATTAAGAAAAAAACTCTATCAGCCCCATAAATCAGGAGTGCCACGCTGCGACGCTATAACATCACAATTGTTACCATGTTACCTGTATCGAGTGCATCTACCCCAATTGAATATTCCACATTTATAATTTGACTTGTGTCTGTATGAGACTTGATGTGACTGTGCGTAGGTTTGACTAAAGCTAAAACATAAAAAGAATAAGAAAATACAGTCATGATGCTATACCATACAAGGAGCTAGGACCGTTGTTTTTTCTCACTCCTTATGCAATGCAAGGGCAAGACTTGTTAAGCTAAAATAAATAAATAAAATAATAACAATAATAATAGTTATAATAGTTATAATAGTTATAATAGTTATAATAGTTATAATGATAATAATAATGATAATAATAATAATAATAATAATAATAATAACAACAATGCTTATACAGGAAGCTCTCATCACAGGCCCGTAGCTAGGGTGGTGCAGGGGGTGCGTTCGCACCCCCCCTCCCTCCACGCGAGCTAAAGGTCCGCTTTTTAAGCAAGTGAGATTTTGGCTGGTATGATATTTTCACGTAAAACTAAGTAAAAAAAATCAATTTTACTTTAATTTATCTATACCTATGCGTCCTATGGGACTTTAAAAAAATTAAGTATATGGTTGGTCCACTTTTTGTAAATTAGCACCCCCCCAACAAAAATCCTAGCTACGGGCCTGCATCATCAAGGTGTTTATCAGAGAAAAGAAAAGTGGTTATGGGGAAGCATAACAATGGCAATTAAAACCAGAAATTGTTCTCCCCTTGTTTCTCATAATGCCCTTACAACGTTCGTCTTCACATCACCTATTGATTATTATTCGTTTCTTTACCCATTACTTGCAACAACAGTATTGTTATCTGAATGAGGTTCTCGCAGTTGTTCGATATTGAGTCCTGCAAAAAGTTCGAGCAGGGACGGCGGAGCTTTAGTCCTCCCCTCCCCTTTCATCAGAATAACACCTTATTTTCTCTTGGTTAGAGTTTCGCTGTGAAGAAAAGCTGAGGATAGTATAGCCCCCACTTTTATAAAAGCACTCCTTAGCCCCCTCCCCTTGAGTGCCCCGCCATCCCTGCATGCTTTGGGTATAGTTTGTATCTTTATTCCCCTTTCCCTCTTGCATTTTCAGATTTAGTTGTGGTATGAAGTTTTCTTTGTAGCTTCCCGTGAAACTAATGATGTAAACATTTAAAACAAATACTACTTAAGGAGTGCATGGCTTAGTTTGCTATCTTCAATTAAGCGAATACATCGAGTAATATAATAATTGATAACAAATATAAGACCCTGGTAGAGATAAAGCTCTCTTACTTATTCACCTTCACTTCCCTAGCTTTCCCTAGTTACTTATCAAGCTGGACGAGGCAAGAGACATTTAGTCTGTATATCGTATAGACCCTTTTGATAATACTTACGATGCTTTTTTTATGTTTGACGTCAAATGTATTCTTTTCAATTTCATTTAAAAACAAAGCGAAATTTCAAAAAAAAATTCGAAGTCAAACGCGGACAACAGAGTCATAATGGAAAAGGGTCTTTCAGGTGATTCATCCAACAGTACCAATAACATGACGGAATAGGTTTTTGAAACTGAGGTTTTCCTCCAGCAGCATTATGCAACTATTCAATAGTATTCTTGTTTGTTATTAGCGACCTTAAGCTTTTCAAAATCTACGACATCGACGTCAACCGGAAGTGTAAAAATTTTCACTTTAGAGTTTCGCGCCCTCAAGGTCTGCCTTCCCTGTGGAACACTTCCGGTTGACGTCGCCGTCGTAGATTTTGAAAAGCTTACCTTTGTGACGCCAAAATATTGCTATAATATAATGAATATTATTGATTACATGGTTTGGGTTTCGAGTCTAAGGTCAACTTTTGATCATAGTTTTCTATTTACATGTTTGAACCTGCACTGGGTTCTTCCGTCTTAACTTGCATTCACGTCGCTTATTTTACCGTAAGGCTGCCCAAATTCTTATTTCTGGATACTAAAATGATAGACTTAGTAAGCCACATCAAACCTTGATCGAGTACTCAATATATTTGTGTTGAAAACAGGTAACACGGAAGAACTAACTTCTCTTCTATAACATTTATTAATTTACGTATTTGACAGCATTTTAGCAGCTTGTTTCTCAAGATTTCCTAGGATCTACCGAGTCCATTAAAAGCTTTGGCTAGTCATGGATATTATCATAAATATAACTACCCCAATCAACCACAAGATGACATTCATACTGACCTTACAGTCTTCGAGCAGACATTTGCTCCATTCGGTGCCAAGTTTGCTAAGCTTTGAGCCAGAAGAGATAATTCAATCACAAAGGAACTAAAGGCAAAGACCTTGACAAATCCAGGTATCATAATTACTGCATGTAGCCTTGTTTGTCACTAGCCGAGTAAACAGATCAAGAAAAAGAAAGTTAGGCAGGCGCTGTATGATACGGAAGACCTCGATTGATGTGCTGCCTTCAGCTTTGATGGCTACTACGTATCGGAAGTGGAAATAGTTAAATATTAACAATTTTTTTCTTGCCGGACGTCTGACGTCTGAAGAATTACCTGTTCAATTCTATCACTACGTTAAACATCCTCTGGGGTGATTTAACTGAATCGGTGTACGACTTAACTGACAGATCGAATCGGAATATAGCGACAAACCCACGAATGCAAAGAAGGGACTGACTGACGGACGGATGTACTGACAGTGAATGTTTGCACTGTCTATCTGTCTGTCTATCTGTCTGTCTGTCTGTCTGTCTATTTATCTCAAGGTATACACTTATTTCAATAAAGTTAGTCACCAAAAAACCTAGAAAGCTGAGATCACTGAGGATCATAGGAAACTTTTAACATCAAACGATTAAAGCTTTTGATTCAATTTGCAGCTTGAGGATGCTCAGAAGAGGTAAGACTGTAACTGGCAAAAGACCTAAAATCCATCAACAGTTATCAAAGCGGTTGAAACACGTAAAATGTAACTACCCATAATCCTTGTTGGTCTCACCTTTGTAGCTTTTCAGGCGACTAACTTTATTGAAATAAGTGTACACTTGTTTTAAGAAAGTTGGTCACGGCACCTGAAAAGCTACAAAGCTGAGACCGACAAGGATTATGGGTAGATACATTTACATGTTTCAACCGCTTGATAACTGTTGATGGACTTACCAGTTACAAGTTAACCTCCTCTGAGTATCCTCAACTGCTGCAGTTTGTGTCAAAAGCTTTACTTGTTGGATATAAAACATTTCCCCATGATTCTCAGCGATCACAGCTTTCTAGGTTTTTGGTGACTAACTTTATTGAAATAAGTGTATCACATCGTAGACTTGCCCCAAGTAGACCTCTCTTGTCTCCCGAGGAGTTTTATATTCGAGAGAAGCGAGAATTTGTCGAGTGCGGCGAGTGAGACGCAAAGGGCGCCGGACTTTGAGAAAGTCTAATAATATCGTGGTAAGTCATTATATTATTCATTGCGTAGTCAAAAGACCTTCTCGATCGGCTTTGGCATAATGTTTCCAATTTTAGACCGCGTGTCATGCTCCTAAGATTGAGTGGTATCCATATTCATGCGTCTTCTCGTGCACAACCGTTACTGCAATTTTCATATGCAAATATTTAAATATGCAAACTCTGTGTTTGCGAGCTGCACGCTGAAATTTGGTTTTTCGCTGCCGTCAATCGAAAATATGAAAGGTACCGACTGATTAGGTTTGATTGATGGCAGCAAAAAAATCAAATTTCAGCGTGCAGCTCGCAGAAACAGAGTTCGCATGTTTATGAAAATTGCAGTAAGCAAAGAAATGATACTCTTGGAAATGACACGTAGTCTGTAGTTTGTAATTGCGAAAAATTTACGCGGAAGCCGATGGAAGAGGTCTATCGTAGCTTATAGCGCTAGTTGCTGTGACGTAGGCTCATTGCGTTGCCGAGATCGATTCGCTGATGAAACAAAGTAAGTTGTCGGTACTGTTGCTATAATGCTATCATGTCTTGGGGTAGTACTTATGATTCGCACATCAACAAAATTCAAGTAAAACAAAACCATATCATTCGACGTTTTTTCTTTGCCTCACCTTATGGAAAAGACACTTAAAGCGCCAAACCACTTTTGAATTTATTGGATATTTTATCTGTCGAAAATATATATACCGTCTTAAAGTGTTGGAATTTATGCACCTCTGGCATAGTGCAAAACTACCAGCTGTATTCAATGTTTAAGTATGCCAGTCAGGTGCATTCATATAACACCAGATATGCATGCAAACAAAACATGTATAAACCAAGAGTGAGAACAAATATAGGCAAGCAAACTGTATCACTTGCTGCTGTTGATCTTTGGAAAACACTGCCAATGCATATCAAAAACTCATAAACATTCTCCTTTAAAAGAAAATTAAAACACCACCTTCTTTCAAATCAGAGATTGTAATTATTTCTAGCGTACTATATAATTTTATCTCAACTAGAGTTCTATTCTCCTTTTTCTTCATTTATATGATATTAATATATATTTCAGTATCTTGTATATCTGATAGTAAGGGAATCAAAAATCTATCCTGTACACTTCAGTCACCAACGCTTTTTCGTATTTTTCCCCCATTTTTGAGAAATTCTTAAGCCTTTACAGCGTTTTAAAGTACGCAAAAAACCAGTGTCCAGACACTCGCAACATGTCAGCACCGTGTCACAAGGAGTCCTGGTACGAGAAAAATATACGTCATCGGGGTGAGATGTCATGCGGCCTGTTGTATTGCAATGCTTTGTACAAATTTCGTAAGAAGTTATTTTGTTTCATAAAATGCCTAAAAATATTGTGTTGTAATTCACTGTAAAAGTGAATCCAGCTTGAAAGAAGGCATAGCTTTGATTTTTCCACCCCGATGACGTATTCGCACCAGTCCCCCGAATGAGCGGAGCTGTTATGAAAACCGGGAATTTAAAATCTTTTTAAAAAATCAAGAATTCGTTCAATTTCTTTTTTTAAATTATTTTTCGTTATTATATATGTATATCTCCACTTCCAAATAGGGGAAAAAAACACTTGAGGTGCACTTTTAAAAAAATATGAAAAGGCTGGGGACGACTATAAAACGTCACTGTTTATTTGTCGTCCAGGCTCAAATATCTCAACTAATCTCTATTCTCAGTCTGTATCGTCATATGCACAAATGATATGAATAGAAATTACAGTAATTTTCCTCATCACTCTATTATAGATATTTATTATACATTTATATTATATTTAAATTAAATTTCTCTATATTGTCACCAAATGTAATTAATATTTAAGAGCAATAAACTTCCGTTCTGTTCAATGGTTGCGTGACAAACAAGACAACATCACAATTATGCCAAGAACCATCTAGCGCTATAGCAATAGCAAGAGGAAAATAATGAACTAGTTCATTTTTCATTGGTAATAAAAATAATTGATAACTTGTAAACTCGTTGTGCAATATTTTTCTAAAGTATGAAATATGTTTATATGTTTATATGACATATGAAATATGCTATTTATTCCAAAGTATGAAATATGTTTATATGTGCATATGACATATGAAATATGCTATTTATTCCAAAGTATGAAATATGTTTATATGTGCATATGACAAATGAAATATGCCATTTATTCTAAAGTATGAAATATGTTTATTAGATATGGACTTCGATCATCTTAATCCAACTGAGAGGGCTCTTATGAAATCATCGTAATATATGTTTCGTCCTCCTCTAATGGGCTGATTTCATACTGAGGCTCAGAGATCTCGGGTACACGAAATACATTATCGCACGGTGCCGGGGATTCAACTTCACCAGTCGAGTGACCTTTGGACGAGAGACCTTGATAAACGTGATTATCCCTTTGCTCAATTATCAAAGACTGGTAGTCACCATGGAAACCCTTGGGGATACCATGACAATGTTCTTGGTTGCCATAGATACCGATGCCGGTAAGCTGAGAGTCCTTCAAATTTCTATCAAGAGATTGATGAAAATCTTGGTTGCCAAGTCTACCAGCATTACGGAGGTCAGTATGATGCGTTTCTATGGTTACGGTACTGACACTGACCACATGACTTTCTTTTGAGTTTTGAGCTTGGAAATTATCGTAAAATGGAGCTTGAAGTTTAATATCCAAATTAGAGTTTACTTTTCCCTTTGATTGTCGCTTCCTGTCCACTTTTGTTTTGTCCTTTTCCGTCACGGGAGGATCTTTTGTCATTTTCATTCTGCCCGATTTTTTTTGCTTTCGACATTTTATCAGTACCACAACGACAATGGTTATGATGATGATAAAACCGACACCGCAAAGCACGCCTGGTAGAAGGAATTCATATATATAGTTGTTTTGTTTTCCTCGATGAAAAGTCGTACCTGGAAAAAAGGATGGTAAGATTTAAAAAAATAATGGAAGTGGGATGGAAGTCCCTTCGGTCCCCCCTCCCCCTCACGAATTCTGGAAATTCTTCGATGCTGTGTGTCTGATGGTTTTGTTGCATGTTGCACATGCAAGGGATTCTGTAGAATTTTCAATTATTTTTCCATACTTAGTAGCACTACAAAATCTCCCCTGCCACTTCCCCACGCACTTACATTGTCCTGTCACGGGGTCACATGATGCATCATTCTGACATAAGCACTTTGATTGACAGTTTTTCCCATAGTTACCAGCCGGACATGGAGTATTACATTCAACACCAGTCCACCCGGGTAGACAGTCACATGATCCATCCACCTTGCTGCATGTTGCATTGTTCTGACATTTGCAGATCGCGGTACATCCTGGGCCATATAGTCCTCTTGGACATTGTTTACCACAGTCTTCACCAACGTATCCGGGCTGACATCTTCAAATTATAAACGGAAATACGAAAATTAGTTGTTCAATACTTAGAGGTATATTCAAACAAATGCCCAAAAGCTTTTGTGCGATAAAGTTTTATGGTACTTACGAACACAAACCAGAATAAGGATTGCAGTGTCCCCACTGACTACAATTACACTGTCTTATACAGCGGTTTAGAACCGCGGAACACCGCTTCTCGCATAGCATGCCGGTATAGCCGGGGATACAGTTACAAAAGCCATGTGGGGAGCAAGTGGCGTTGTTGTAACATGCGCAGTTTCCTTGACATTTGCGTCCCATGATATCATCCATGCATAGCTTCTCGCATCTGTTGATAAAGACGAAATTTTAGGCAAGGCAAGGCAAGGCAAGGCAAGGCAAGGCAAGGCAAGGCAAGGCAAGGCAAGGCAAGGCAAGGCAAGGCAAGGTAAGGTAGGGCAAGGCAAGGCAAGGTCTGTGTAACCAAGCATGCATTTGCACGTGCCGTTCACGTGTTCATAAGAAGCTCCTTTCTAGCATTCACATCGTCGAGCACACCTTTCGCCATACAAACCAGAATAACATTTAAATTTGTATCTGAAAACAAGCAAATAGACCTCCTCTGCTCTAGAGCGCTCGAGCGTAATGTTGTCCCATTTCAGACCACGTGTCATTCCCTTGAGAATAATATTCCTTGTTTGAGTTGTATCCATATTCATGTGTCTTCTCTTGTGCAACCGAGCGCAAACCTTAAACAAAGAAATGATGCTCTAGGTAATGACACGTGGTCTGAAATGGGAAAACATTACGTCAGAGCCGAGGATGTCTATTGTATCTTACCTTTAGCAACTGTGGTGAATTAATTAACTAAACCAAATAATGGTAATACCCGCGAGCGCATGTTGCGCATGCTCCTTCAACGTCCACCTACCGCTGTCCTTAATATCCAGCTGCGCATGTGCATTTCCCACTAACAGGGTCACATGTAGCTCCATTAAGACACGTGCATTCGTGGTCACATGTCTTGTTGCAGTACTGTCCCTTCCACCCTGGGGTACACTTACAGACACCAGTGTGGGGAGAGCATTTAGCGTTATTTTGACAGAGACAGTCATGTCTGCAGCGTGGTCCCCATTTATGTGAAGGACATTCTGATGAAGGAAGGAAAGAATATTAACACGAACCATATTGAGAAAGATTACAAAGATGTTAGAAGTGTTGGTACATACCAATTTCGCATAGTTTTCCATAGTAACCCGAGTAACACAAGCAGTAGTCTTATTTGGTACACGTGCCATTCACACAAGGCTGAGTACAAATGACTAAAAAAAGAGATGAATCTATAAGAAATTTTTCTTATTGTTGAATGAGGAACCATACTTCCCTTACCTCCATCCCTTGCAGCATTGGTATTGTTTTCAGACGTAGGATAATCTAGTGACTACCCTAG